CTTGTCTTTTTCAAGCACTGACACTCCACAGTAGTTTGTGCCTTGTGGGCAGCACACCTCAGAGGAGGCGACCCTACCTGGCCAACTGCTTCTTCCTGCTGCAGGAGCCAGGGGGACACCTGGTCCTTCTGCAGCTGCATTTTCAAGTCAGCCTAAAGGCTAAGTATTGTCCACAGGCAATATGTCTTTCTGTCTTAAAATTAATAAGCATATAATTTAGACCTAATTTTCACAGACTTCTCCATAGCAGCCTTATCCCCAGACGACAGGAGTCTCGCTGAATGAACATTTCCATTTACTATTTCTTAGCAACACATATTCATTAATACATATAAACATTGAAAGAAGAGACCAATTTAGTTTACAGAAGATTATGTGTGTTTAGGTATTTAAATATCCTTGCATAACAAATCTGAGATAAAGCACCATGGGGAGAAAGATAAAAAGTATTAAGTGTCTAAACAGACTTCTGTGCCACCTGCTCCTTCGTTGCTGATGTGGTTATGTAGTTTTATTTATTGGGAATATTATTTGCCTAATATTTATTTTTATTATTAGAATTATAGAAAATAATTCCCCTAAGAATCCTGAGTTCCTCTTACATATAAAAGCATAAATTCATTATATAAGTATTACATTTTTTTGTTACAGTAGATTGCCATTACAATGCTTTCAGTTCCACCTACATTCACAACTATGAGAGGAATACTGATGGCCAATCCCCAAATATAAGCCCTCCTTCATCAATTCAGTAATGGAACAAAACATGGCCTTTCCCTGAACTGCATTCCTGTGCATCCCACTCTCTCCAACTGCTTCCAGCAAAAGGGTGCAATGTTTATGTCTGTGCATGTGTATCTACATTTAAAGATTGTCCTTGCATTTGTACTCCTTTCCTGGTCTTTGCAGACACAACCAGCACAGATTCCAAGCAATGCCTGTTCTGACAGCACGTTTGATGATTTTGAGGTCTGTTACCTGCTGTCTCAGAATGCTAAAAATTGCCTGGGGGAGGCTACAAAGTGGCAGCACTGGGAAATCCTTAAGATAAAAATGAAATACTGAGTTTTCTGTACAAGTCTGAATGCATTTCACAACACATGCATGATGGAGAGGTGAAATCCTGCTCCTTTGAAGAAGGAACATGGGAGTTGATGATGCCAATAGGGCAAACATTTGGGTCCCACTGAACTGCAGCTAATGGTAGTCCAATGCTTTTCTGAGAACAAACATGAGTCTTGTAGGTCGTATGGTGGTGGTGAAATAAAGAATAGGGTGCAGGTCTCCAATGCACTTTATGAGGATTAAACTAGGGGAGTTGGTAGAACTCCATGAAGTAGTGAATATCCATCTCTTCAAAACTGCATCCTGAGACTACAAGGATTTATCTCACCCAATTCTCTATTTAAAAAAAAACCCAAACAACAAAACAAAAACAAAACCACACATATATTAGTTCAACTGAGTCAGCAGTTCTATCTATGGCTGTTCACAGAGAGAAAAACTGCTATTGATGTCTATCTGAAATGGGCCTGTACTGGAAGTAATTTGGAATGGAAACTCTACATTTGCTTCTGGAAGAGCCTAAATTTAGTTTTCAGGCCAATACTTCTAAGTGAGATAAGCCTCTTTTGAAGGGAACACAGATCAAAACTGATGGGAGCAGAATACCTTAAATCTTCTGGAAATATTATCTTATATCTGGGGTCATCTCAGATGTCTAGTGGTCTTTGAAAACTGAGCTCTGAGCTCCTGTTCTTTCTGCTTTTATTTGTTTCTTCAAAATGTCTGGTTTTATGGGTGGGATTAAGTCACAGTGTTTGAGAGAGGCTAAAGATTTATGAACAGCTATGAAAAAGTTATGGGCCAGTGTTCTTGAGTTGGGGGGAGAAACATTGGATGTTTCTACTTTTGTGCTTATGCTCATATGCAAGTTCATTCAGAAGGCCACAAATGAGAGTGTCAGTTTATAAGTCACCAGGCTGTGCAGGCAATTAATTGCTGATTAACTTCCACTGGCTGCCAAACAGAGTCTGGAAGCTGAAGATAAAAAATTGAAAGTCACTTTTGCTGATTTCCCTGTACTAAGAATTTATGTTGTGGTAGCAAACTGCTGAGCACTACATCTCAAAAATATCACTGTTTGAGGAATTATTGATAATTGTTGAGTATGCTCAGCACTCAACAACAAAAAAATTATACAGATATTGTCACCTGCAGATGACACAAAGACAAGAAGCCTAAGCAGTGCCAGTTAAAAAACCCAAAAGCACCATTTTCAGGGAGAACCATGAGTAGGATATCTACAGTCTACTGGAGGATTTAATCCAGAGGCTACTTTGTCTTGCACATGGAAGGTTCTTAGTGAAAGTAACCAGAGTATTTAAATCACTTTCTTGTCAGTGAAAAAGACAGATAACACAGCAGTACAATGACCAAAGAGCCAGTAGCCTTCATTTTAAAGAAGGGTGTTGGCTAAATTAGAAATGTTGCTGTGTGTAGTCTCTCTGTTTTAGGTGAGTGCTGTGCCAGAGCAGAGGTCTCAGCCTGTGGTTACAGCAAGGTGAAGGTGCTGATGAGCTTTGCCACCACCCACCCTGGGTGACCTCAGTGGCATCTGCGAGGAAACAGAGAGCTGGGACACATTTGGTCAGGGGAGAAACACTTTGGTGTTGACTCAAGAGGCAAAACAATGTAAACACTGAATATGAAGGGAAAAATGTACAGCAAAACTCACATCCTAAGAATTTTGGTCCTAAGTGGGTTGTTTGTTTATCCCACCAGTCAGACCTGGCTGTGCAGCCAAGCAAGCCAAAGAAAGTCTCCTTTATTGTTTCCATGATGCTTACTCATCTAAAAGCCATTCCCCTTTTAGATTATTCTCTTTTTAAGGCGCGATTCCCATCTGTTCTTTGATCTTATACCACATAAGACATTTAGCTAATAACATCATCCATCAAATACCAACTTTCTTTTAGAGTTCAAACACAATCGAGACAGAACCCAGTCCATCTGCTGGCCAGTGCCTCTGAACAGATCCAGCTTGTGAATGGCCAGCTATGTTGCCTATTTTTCAATTAACCAGCTTAGGTCTGTGCTTCCCATGATCCTGCAGGATGACTAGGGGGCACTCCACAGGGAAGTGAAACACCCTCCTCTGCGGAGAAGAGGGTTTGGTGCATCCAGATCTGTGATGTGCTTGTTGTAAGTGGGGCTTTCCAGTGGATGGAGCCTGCCTTCAGCCTCTCAGGGCATTTTTTTTTTTTTTTGCACACACTCATAGTATTTAATAAAATATTTTAAGGATAACTTCTTTCAAATTTGGCCTTCTTCAGAGAAAGGTGTGTAAAGATAATGTTTTCTTCTCTGAGCAAAATTCTGAGTTTATTTGACAGAAACTTCAGAATTTCTGGGCAGGTTGTCTGAAGCAAGGGAATTGCAGATTTGCAGTCAAGTACTTATACAGAAAATGCCTGCCTGCTTACCCAACTGGAGAGCTAGGGAATGTCTGATGGTTTAGTTGACCAACTGTACTGAAGCAGCACAGCTTAAATTAAGGATCACAGTTTTAAAAAGCCTAAGAAAAACTGGTCAGGAAAAAAAAGAAAAGGAGATTAATGAGTAATCCAGGGAGCAGGTAGTTTTTCTATGGATATTTTCCAAGTGCAGTTATCAAATTCTTTAAATCATTACTGTCAGATTCTTCACTTAGCTCCATTATCTTGCTTCTCAGTAGTTTGCTTTATCTTGCACATGGTGCATTTGTTTAGGAAGGAATTTGATTCAGGATTTATATTCCTCTGGCTTACACATGCCACAGCGTCCTTATCTCCAGATCTGAAACAATAACAGCAATAAAAAAGCGCCTACATTTCCTTCTATTTCCTGGCTTGCCAATAATAAGAAGTCCCTGCAGAGGGGAGCTTGGCTGGTGGTGTTTTGTGATTTCTCAGATAACAAGAGCTTCACATTTCTGTGGAATTCCCATTTGCCAGTGAGCTGCTGCTGCTGCTGCCCTGATTGATATATGACTGCAATGGCACTTTTCCATTTGACATTCCCCCTCTCTCCCTCTCTCTCCCTCTCTCTTAAACAACAGCCCTAACTTTTGTGTGTTGCAAATATAAAAGGCAAGCCATGTGACGGAGGGACAGAAGAACAAAAGCATTTGGAAGTAACAGGACCTCTTTTAGCTCTCCGAAGAGTTTGAGGGAAGGAAGGAGTGGTGCATTTTCCAAAGGTAAGCATGCAAATAAGAGATTCCTAGAGATTTTGAGTATTACATGGATTTAAATCGGGTGCTTAATCTCTTTATCTGATAAAGACATGTTCTCCTTGTACCATTTTTAAAATTAAACTGCATTTAAATGGAATCAACACAGCTCTAGTCCCTGTGTCTCTTTACCCTTGTGTCCTTACCTCCTGTCTGAAGGTTGCTGTATGTGGTCAGATCGGTGGCCCAGGCTGCTTCTGAGCAACTTGGTTAAACACCTATTCTTGTGAGCATGCTGAGCTCCATTCTGCAGCTCTGTGCTGGTCATAGCTGTGGCCTGGGAGTGAATGGACATGTTGGACTCTGCCCTGAATTCACCGAGAGGGCGCTGGTATCGCCAGCACCCTCTTTGTCCCACTACAATAAGGCTCTATGAACACGGGCAAGCCTGCTACTTTAAAGTTGGACTGTTTACTTTTATCACTACTTACGCCTGCTGTTCTCTTGCCAGTCATCTGCTGGAGCCCTCAGAATAATTTGAAACAACAGGCAATATTTATTCCTAGCTTTGTGTCTCACGCTTCCCGGGAGCGCTCAGAATTCGCACATTATTATTTACCCGAACTTCCGCAAGGCTTTCCAACGGACCGGACAGCGCTGGCTGTGGATTAGGACAGATTTAACACACACAGTTTGCGGTCTCAGAGCTGAGAGGGAAGCGCCGGTGCCTGGCTTTGCCGCGGTGCCCGGGGTGTGACAGCAGCGCGGCGCGGCTGTGCCGCCCGGAGCTGACACCGGAGGATGCTGCGCGACCCCAGACCGCCCGCTGAAGGACAGAGGGAGGCTCTCCTGCCTTCCCGGCAGATCATTTCCCTGTGTGTCAGCACCAGAGGCACGAGCATGACTGGTCTGTGCTTCTCTGGGACGGAAGAAGAATTTGGCTGCTGCGAGCCTGGTGACCAAGTGTCAGTGTAGAGTAACTGCGGGAACTGCCCCGGGGAAAGCGGCTGAGGAGCAGAGCCCCAGCTCCCTGCTGGGATTCAGGTGAGTGAATTCATGCCACAAAAGTTTAAGGGAATGGGTCCAGCAGCAAAGAACAGAGTAACAAAGAAAACCAATCTCAGGACTGCTGCAGTGTGGCACACAGGGTTTGCTGGGGGGCGATTTTCTTGTGACAAATCTGGATTTGCAAGACGTGTGACTGTGTGTGTGTGTGTGTGTGTGTGTGTGTGTGTGTGTGTGTGCACTGACTGTCGTGGGACTGTCAGGCAGATTTCTTTTCCTACCTTGCTAGTTCACTGAAATTTCTCTCATAGCCTCCCCATAACACATCTTATTTGTTTCTGCCTGGGAGAGGTGGCATGACAAGTAACTCAGGGTTTCTGTAGCTTTTTAGAGATGAAAAATGTATTTCCTATATGCTACATGTTACTTACAGTTCCTAAAGCTTTATAATTGTGGCTGAGAGGAAGGAACTCTGCCCATTGGAAAAGGACTGGCAAAAGGTTTTTTAAAACCAGTAATAGGACAAACTCACTTGAAGGCAAATGATTATTTAAAACCAACAGTGGGAACAAACTCACTTGAAATCAATACTTCATTGCAAAGTTTTTTTCTAATAGAAGCAACTCAGCTGCCTGGTATGGCAATAAGTGTGGCTGCAATAATCACAGTGCTATTATTTTCCCTCCTCAAAAGAATATAAGAATATCTACATTTTAGGACCTGTATCTATCATTTTTTCCCCTTGCCTTTTGAATTACTAATAATGCTCACTTTTGCTCTTGCTGTGGGACCTTACTCATATTTGTGACATACACATGAATAATTTCCTGGACCTAAATAGAACTATTTGGTGAGTAATTACATACCAGCTTGAATCAGGGGTTCCCAATGTGACTTATGCATACATCTTACTACTAATTAAATCTTATTTTTTATTATAAAACAATGCTTTAAGATTTTCCAGTTAAAAACAAATGTGGAAGGAATAGGTATTTCAAGCTTCCAAAGCAAAATGCAGTTTGATTTAGGAGCACGGTATAATTAGGGGCTGCTGATGATTAGTTACAGGCTCATTTCTCTACCTGAAGGTGTCCCATGTAGGTTTCCTGGGTTTGTGCAGTGCCTGGTTTGGATCAGATTAATGTGTGCTGATGACTGGCCTTTGCAGAGCAGGATATTTGTTATGGACAGTCTTGGGTACAGTTTGCAGTAGCAGTACCCCAGGTAGCTCCTTAGGCATGGCTGATTTCCACAAAAACCTTCTGCCCCACTGGAACCATCCCTCACTCACCTTTGAGGATTGTGGTAGCATCTGTACATTCTTCCCTTTTTGCCTGGCCAGGATTGCAGTGTCTCTTGCCCAGGTGGGAGGCAAACAAGCCACCTCCTTGGGAACTCACACTGATGCCTGCTGTGACTCATTTGACAGGGAGTCCTCCCGTAGTTACCTTCATTCCCTGTTTCTCCTGGGGCTGACTTTGTTCCCTTCCTGGCTTGTCTGCTCTCAGATGCACTAGGAAGTGCTCAAGGTTGTCCTTGAAACTTGGAGAGAATTGACTATCTATGGCGAAAGCTTGCATGAAACCACTGAGATATTAATTCTTGCAACTTTTCTGGTGGATTATTTAACTGAAAGAAAACAAAATCTTTTCTTTCCCCCTCCCCACCTCCCAATCGCTATTGTAATTACAATTATAAATATTTGATAGTTGTATTATAAGTATTACCAATTTTTCTGTCTCATACTCTTTCTGAGTAGGAGAAGAGACTTGTCCCTGTGAGTTCTGGGAAGGTTTTGCTACATGAGACTGTAGCTCCCTGTTATTTGAGGAATCCACCTCTGGAAGTGGCCACATCAAAGAGAGACACAAAGACCCTGTGGCAGCAGCTACGGGGTAACTTGCTGGGGCAAAGGATTTTTCCCTAACCCCATCCACTGAACTCTCAGAGTCCTGAGGGTTTATAACCCTGCCAAAAGCTCTTCTGAAATGAAACCCCTGTGACTGTAACCCCCCATACACAACAGGCCCGTTCGCTGAGCACAGCTCAACTTTTGCCCTCTGTGATATCTTGTTCCCCCGGATCATTGTCGGTTGTGTAAACACGTGTTTCTTTTCATCAGTGTTAAGTGTTCTGCCTCTCAGCTCCCCTGCCCTTCTCCATGTCCCAGTGTCTCGGGATGGGGTGAATAGCCATGTCCAGATCACCTTTTTTTCTGCTGCCTGACTTCACACTTGACAGTCCTTTTGCTGAAACTCAACTCAATGGCAGGAGAAAGGTTTAGTTGGGTCAGGTTAGCTCAGGTGTCTGAGCCAAGTGCACCCCACTTCGACCACACTTCTGAGCATGCATATGAAGAGATGTTGCAGTCTCTGCTGGCTGTGATCAGCTGTTATTTCCCTTTTATATGTGTCAGTGTGGAACATATTAAAATTTCTCAGTAGTGGTATGTTAGGAATCCCTCTGATGCCCCACCTCTAACTTAGCAGAACAATAAAAGCAAGGTTGTAGTAAGCCTTTGAGCAGCTGGTCGTCTATAAATTCCTCCTTTTCTCACATAATCTAATTCAAACTATTATCCGGGTAGCAGTGGCACTACCACTTCCAGACACCATCAGTCCTTGTCCTGTTTGCTGGAATTTCATTGTGTGGCATGGAGATCCTTTCTTCTACAGGCAAGTGTAACCTCTATGCTGGTGTGAGAGTAGGGGGCTGCTGGTGCCATGGAGACACTGGTCCCAGGAATTCCTCCTCCTCATTGCTATTTTTCAGCTTCTCTTTGTTATTTTTCTAGTTGCATCAATCATTTTTACGGCTCACGCTTGTCACATTTTCGTGCTTGTTATTACCGAGCTGCAGACTGTGTCGGGCCGAGGCAGCACAGGTTACATTGCCCTTTAAGACATGTGGGTTGAGGATCTGAGTTAATGCCTCAGCTCTGGTTTGGCAAAGGTTAAGCATACCATGGCAGTGACAATCACATTGCTGTCATAGCAGCACGGCTCAAAGGGAGTGGGACTTGGGGGAACGCTGCTCCCCTTGTTAGAAGACACAGAATTGTTACCATGAGCCAAATATTTAGGTTCCCTAATTATCAGAGGATGAGATATATGGATGGTGGTCTGAATGTTGCCCGTGTATAAAAGAGGAAAGGGTTTTGCCCCTGGGGTTAGCAGAGAGGGAACATCCCCTTCAATCATGTGCTGTCTGCTGGTCCCAGTGGCAGAGATGTGTTTGCTTAGTGTTAAAGAATAAAAAGACCCATTCTATGGTGTGGTTTTTATTCCATACTCCTGCATCTATTGATAACTATAGGCCTTTGAGTTGACTGGGAAATGTGCAAAAGACAGAGAACAAAAACTGCACACCTGCTTGTAACACACTCCAACAGGTAGAGGACACACGCCTGAATGCCCTAGACCTCTCAGCGACTTGTAATTTGGCCAAGAGTAATTTTGCCTCATGTTGGGTCATAAGACTGAAGTAGAGGTAATTACTGAAGCAAATCCTATAGCTAATGCTTGGCTGGGAACAACTGCACTGTAGCCAGCAGCCACCCTTGCTGGTTTGCCTCCTGAGAGGGATGGGCAGCCCTGGACTGCTCAGCTCTGCACCTGGTGCTTCACCAAGGAGTAATCCCATGCAGCACCCTCTGGATGCATGACCAAGTGGAAAATTGTATTCCTCTGCTGTCTGAGACTCGAGACCATGACTACTCTGATATTCAGCGAGACACAAGAATAAAGAAAGAATCCAAGGCTGGCATCACCTCACCATTAAAAGGCTCTACTCCCTCATTAGAGAGATATCCCATGCATGCCCCTAATCAATCTATTTAAAGCTTCCTGGAAGCAGGAAAAGGAAAGAATAAAAATACAAGCAGTCTTTTGTGCCCCAGTAGTTATTCTTTGTGAATGTATTAAACCCTTTACTCCGTGCCTGTCTGCTGGCTGGGCGCCAGCCTGCTGTACCCACTGGAGTTTGTTATTTCAACCACCGAGCAGGAAGGCACCTCCTGCTCCCCCTCTCCTACTACCTGAAGGGCTGGAAATATTCTTGGGATCTTCAAAAGCAGAGGGAAGTTTAGACTGCTCAAGTGCCATTCAGATGGATTTGTTCCACCTCATGCACCGGGTCCCCACGGCGGGAGCACTTTTAGAGCCTTAACCGAGCCCAGGGAATCAGTCCCATATATTCCCACCCCACGCCTGCTGAGACTCCCAGGGTGCTTCCATTATGTTTGCTGCAACTGCTTCAAAGGCCATGGTCTTCCTACTTTTCCTTTTTCAGTCTGCTTACAGTCACAGGTGTTCATCTCCTGAAATATTAACAGACTGAAGGAAGTCTCCCAGTAAAAAATGCTTTCCAGGGGTTTATCTCAGCACAGCCTTAGTAGGACAAGAAGATGGACTTCTCTGCCACGGACAAGCAGATGAAGAGGCTTGAATTTCCTACTTTTGAGCCCTGTTTTCCTTCTTACTGCCTTTTTCTTTCCCCTCTCCTCTTGTCCACCAGCTGCTGCCAGCTCTGGCCAGGAGTGTGTGTTGTTTGTGTACCCCCCATGCAAGCACACACTGCCCTGCTGTGTAGTGGGAGGATGGAGCTCCTGGACCATGGATGAAGACATTCCCCTTGGCATGGAAATGGACAAGCTCCAGCACAGCTGGATGCCAGTTGAGCAAACCCTCTTAAGAACAAGACCTTGGGGGAACATTCACTTATTTAGACCTGTAATGGTCTCACTCAAAATATTTGGTATGATATTTGCCTTGGCCCAGGATGGGAAGAAACCTCTTTAAATGCTGTGTGGAGGCCTTTCTCACACAACTGGGGGTGCCTGTGTTCACCTGCTGCTGCCTGGCTGCTACGTGGCCACTCAGTGGCTCTGTCAGGTGTTATGACAGGCAGCTGCAGAGTGAAGTGAGGATCTTTGATAGCATACACAGGAGGCCAGCTCCTTCACTGCTGGCACAGAAATGGCCAGTAGATAAAAAGATGACAGCATTTATTTACAGAGCTAAAAGATAAGCTGGAACTGACAAAGACTCTGAGATGGTTCTGCAGAAAGCAGGGTCAGACACAGCATCTCATCTCGGGTTGCCCCTCCTGCTCCATGAACTGTTCTCTGGAATGGCTCAGATTGTTTCAGTCCCACAGCTCTCAGTGCTTCCCAAGCTGTTCCCAGGCATGATGTGGATGGCTGTGTGGGCTGGAAGCCACCCGAGTGCTGTGGGTGCTGACGGATATTTGGGAACAGACCATGCTGCCTTTGTCATGGCAATGGAGAATTTACAGAACAAATCCTTGTGGAGCCTGACTAAGTAATTTGCCCATCAGAGTTGTTTCCACTCCAAACCAGATCTTGGAGAGTGAAGCCCCCAAATCCTTATCTTCCTGGAAAATCAAAACTTTTCCAAATTCCATAAAGGTCTTGAGGAATCCATTTTCATCTCATGAAGAACTTTGTGGCTTTTATTTTTTTTTAATCAGAACAGCAGCAGTGAATTGACACACACGCACATATATATACACACACATGGTTAGTGACACTTTTTTAGGTCTGGAGTTTGGAGAAACTGAGCAGTCTTGCGACTCTTCTGTTTACATAACAAATTCAGATTGAGGGAACCACATGGTAGGATCCAAGTAATTGTGTTTATTAAATATGCACAGCATGCAAGGCCAGGCTTAAGTTATATACACACACTGCTGCTTCAATGGGATTTTGGCAGCCTCCAAAACACAAAAAGCATTGAGTGATTTAAATGGTGCCCTCATCTTCAAGCAGGAGTCTCAAACATAGAAAATGCCCAGCAAAGGAAGGTCAAGCTGAACATACATATATAGGGGGACTCAGGGAACAACTAACTAGAAGAAGACCACCACAAAAGAGCTTTTCCACTGCTCCCTTCCTACCTCCCAGGGTAAAAGCTGTGCAGATCCATAGACCTTTGGAGAATTGCTCAGCTCTTTATTTTTTCCAAGATACATAGCAAAAAGGGAATTTCTGTTTATGTTCTCACAAAGTGACTGGCTAAATAATTCCAGATGATGGAATGTTCTTCTGTCCTTAAAGTAAAACAAAACCTTAGCCTTCACCACTCTCTAAATGATATTAAAATTATGATAAGAAATCTTTATTATTCAGAAAGCAGTTAATAAGAACATGGAGTTGGAAAAATAACCCTAACTTTGAGCATATGTCCATGTGCAATACAGTCTTAGCTGTATGTTAATATGGTTTTTCTTTGGGATGTCTTCTATTTTTCCCTCAAGTTTTTAGGTTAACAGCTGTAGCAGTTTTAGGTAACAGCTGTGACAAGCTTTAATATGTTATGTCTCTATGAAATCCTGGAAACTAGTTACATGGAAAAGAAACTAAGCCATTGCACACAAAATGTACTTCCCATATCTCAGTGAATTCTGAAAAAAATATGAAGTAGCAATTTTCATCCACCGTTAGGCCATATATATTTGTAGCAAATTTTCAGCTTGAAAATATGAAGTCATGTTTGCAACCTTTTCTTTACAGGATGCTGTAAAGAGGGAGGATTTAGGCTTGCTTTTTGTTAGCTAGGCAGATGAACTGTCTACCACAGTTTTTGCATGAAAAGAAAGTGAGGATAAAACAGTTGAAATAGAAGAAAAATATTTCTCTGTGACATTATTGCTTTTAATAAAAAAGTATATTTTCCGAATGAAACAAAATGTCATTGTAATGATGATTTATGATCACAATTGTACTTGGTTCTGTTTTTTGGACAGAACTATAGACTGGAAACTACTTATGCCAATCCTGATAGCATGTGCTATCTAGGATTTTATCATTTCAGACAGCATTTCAAAAGGAATGCAATTTTTAACTTAAAAATAATAATAATAATGCTAAGTTCAAGTGAAGTGCCATTGGGCTTCACAACATCAGCTAGAAATTGAAAATATCATGCCAACATACCTCATCATGGTGATGTGAGTGAAAATATTTTTACTTTTTTTGCAGAATCAAAAATCCACACCCTAACTTCCATGTGTTTAAACGTCCCTCTCAGACTTTTTCTTCCATATATGTTATATATATATAGCATATATGCTGGAAAAATGTCTGTGCATGCTTCTCATAGGTACGTCAGGAGATAAACCTACCCATTGTACCGGTATGTCTTTTAACAACAGTAACCAATTATTTCACAAGAGATGGATCATATTTACAATGGTTTTCTCTCTTTTTTCTTATAAATATATGATACTTTTTACTTCTTTCAAAGTATTGTTACAAAAACCTGCTACATTTCTTTGTTACTGAAGTATCAGGGCAATTTTAAAAGGTTGTGGAAGTGTTAATACTTTTTGTACTGTGCTTATCCTGAAGAAGGTACAGCTATGTTCCTTTTCTCACACTTCCCTGTGTCTTTCCAGCTTTCTCAGAGTGTTTTCATGAGGCAGACTCTGTGTCATCCAATTATTTCCTGAATAAAACTAGGGAGATAAGCCTTTGAAAACTGAGCCAGGACTTGCAGATTTCTCTCACTGTATTAAATCATACTGATCAAAACCATGGGAAGATATAGAAGCACAGAATTAACAGTGGGACAGAGAGAATGGGAAATGGGGATCCCTGGGTGTAATATCACATGAAATGAGACCGTCTAATATCAAGTAAATTTATTTGGACAGAGAGGGAATTACTGGGTGTGTAATAATGATTAACTATGTTGGAGGGAGACCTTGCCAAGCAGCATGTTTTGGTCAGCCTCTTTATAAAAAAGAATAGGAATCTAGGTAAAAGGTTAAACATGGAGAAAATAATAGTGCATCCCTCCTCCTGTTAGCTCATCGTTGGGCATCATCTGCATGAACTGGAGTAGCACAGTTCACTTCAGGGAGGGAGTCTGTCCCAGCTCCCATGACCAAGAGATTTCTCTCCTATGCTGCTAAAATGTTTGGACGAATATTTATTGACATGAATGAGGCTGTGCATGAATGTATCTGAGATCCTAAGTGTTTAGTGTTGTTTGTTTGAGTTCTTTATATTGCAAAGACACAGTAAGGTTTTTAATGCCCCATTTGCTGAGGAAAACATATCAGGTCATATGTCACTCTGGGGGAAAAAAAATGTTGTCATTTAAATCAACAGTCACATAATTCTTCCTTTCCTACTTAAGCACATGGATAATATCCTGAAACAACAACAACAACAACAACAACAACAACAACATAACAAAAACAACAACAAAAACCTCTAATACACAGAGCATCTTTGTCTGTCTAACACACAGAGCATCCCTAATAACATTTCTTCTCAGCATGAGACTTTGGATATCACATCAGCACCATCCCAACTTGGATGAACCCTGGAAGTGTTTGTCAGTGCTAGGCACTCCTCTCACAGAGGTGCTGGAGGAGGCTATAAAGCAATATACAAATCATCGAGCACTCTGGTGGGGAGGCTGTTTGGGAGATGAGTATCAGCCGGTTTAGAGGACTGCCAGCAAACCAGAAAACAGTTTTCAAAGAGGCTTGTATAAGGCAATAAGGGCACACATCAGCTCTTTAAATACCCAAGAGGCTCTGGGAGTATTTCTCTGTGAGTAGGGAACTGTTTTATCTTAAGTTTCTTCAGAAAGTCTTTGCACTTTTAACTGTACTGATGAGTATCCTTTGACTATCCTTCATCGGGCTGTGTTTAGATAGATAATTCACAGCTCTTTCAAGTTATATCTGTTTGTAGTGAAAGTGAAATTAATCACCCAGTTGTGACTAAGGAACTTCTGACAAGGATCAAGGGACTGTGAAGAAGCAGCGGATGAAGATATTCTCCTTCCCCTGCTGGCACAAAATTCCGGGCAGCATTTCAGGGGCTGTCCTGTACCTGTTTCCTGGGGAATCTCCTGATCTCCAACATGAACCAGAAATCCACATGCCTGGGTAGATAGCCATATGTCTCCACCTGAACATATTTTTTCCCAACTGATAGCTGGGATAGTACTTATGGAATAATCAATGTATTTTTCAGATGCTGCTCTTTAATTAGCGGAGAGGAGACTGACACCGAGCAAGTGCTGCCTGACAAGTAAGCAAGCAAAGCCTGTCCATGTGTGTGCATGGGAGTTCAGTACTCAGAGGGCAGGGCAGCCAGAGGCCTGGGTAGTTCCTCATGCAGTGCAGGCTGGGGCTCAGCAATTCCCTGGGGGACCACTTGGCTCATGCCTTGGCTGGGACCTTCAGCATCCCTCCACCCTGGAGGTGTCCCTTGTACAGCCAGGCAGCCCCCAGAGCCCCAGCTCAACCTGCCTCCAGCCTTTCCATGGCCTGACATTCCCGTCTGCCAGGCTGAAAGCAGCCAAGCTTTGCACTTCTTTGACACTTTGAGTGGATACAGATTTCAATTTGCAGAAATTTCTGATGTATTACTAATCACCAGTTTTGAGGGGAACTCTATAGGGTCATCACCAAGTGGAAAAGAATGGTATTGCACCACTTGTGATGTTAAAAGTCAAAAGGTTCTCCCTGAAACGATAGAACAATGCTAAAAATAACAAGGCCTTGACATCTCCTTCTTTAATAACATATTCTCGACCTTCTGTGGGGATGATGCTCACTCTGAGCAGGTATTTTGGCTAGCAAAGGTCCTGAGCGCCTTAATATTATTTACGTCTTTTTTCTCCAGAGATCTTTTTCCTCAGGATTGTGATTTATGCTGCTTTTATTCCAGCTGTGCAGAAGATTCTTTGATGGATTACAATCTCATCAGACTCCAACTTGAGAAGAAGAATGACAGCTCAGACACTTAAACCAGACTTTTCACCGTCCTGGAAAGGAACTGGCTTTCAGAATTTGGAGGGTTTTTGATGCTCTACCTCCCTCTGCTGTTACCAGCGAGAAGTTCCACGACAATGGGAAATCATGTACTGGCGGCTTCGATTTCCATGCTCTCGCTGCTGGTGATGGTGGGAGACACGGACAGTAAAACAGACGGGTCCTTCCTGATGGACTCCGACCCCAGCCGCTGTATGAGGCACCACTACGTGGACTCCATCAGCCACCCCCTCTACAAGTGCAGCTCCAAGGTAAGGCTTCACATCCTCACAGTACGATGCTGCCAGGGAAGAGTTGTTAAAACGAGTCCTTCTGCGTGATTTTCTCGGTGTAAATTCCTACCTACCAGAATCTAGCAGCAGAGACGTGCAGTTGTGAAGACATCTTGTGTGTACAAAAGACCTGGGACTGGAGGTAAAGGCTCTTGACTCGCTTTTCACCTTTTCAAAGGGAGAAATTCACAATTCACAAGTTTACATGCAGTAAGCTACGAGATTCAAAGGAGCACATTTGGGATCTCAGCTGATGGTCCCAAGGAGATGGGCTAGTTTGGATGTTCAGATCACCCCATCCTTCAAGAACATTGCTTATTTTCTCCCTGCCCACCCCCTTTTCAAAGCCTTTATTTCATGGAGAATGACACCTGGATGGTAACAGTAGGGCTTAGGAGCAGACAGAAATGCGAGGTTAACTTTCATTGGGGATTCCAAGCCTGGAAAGTTTTGTGTCAAAATGTAGCCTACAGCCATTTATTTCATTGTGTGGAGAAAAAGAATTGGGAGAAACAATGGCAAAATCCTTGCTGGTCCCTTTTGTCTTGTCCTAATTTGTTCTGTCTGAATTAGCACAGTGTACATTCAAATGACTGGGCCACTCCTCTGTCCCATGGGAAGGGACTTTGCGTCAGGCACTCACATCCCAGGATTAAGGAGAGGGAAGGACTGCTAGCTCCAGTGCTTTTGCCAGCCCTGTGTTGGGTAAGAGAGGGATGGGAGGCTGGTGTGTGACAGGATTTATCGCAGGAGGGGTGCCTCCCTGGTGGCAAAGCTCAGCAGCAGGGATCCTGGGAGAATTTACAAGGAGAGAGGATCCAGAGTTGAGATGGATGCAGTCCTGGCTGCAGACACCCCCAGATGCCTTCGAGTGCAGGAGGAGTTCCTTGCTTCCCATAATCAGTGCAGGGGCGAGGGAACACCACTACAAACAGCTACAAATCATAAAAGCTAAAATAAACCACAGAGAGGAGTGTCCACCGAAAATAAGACGTGCTAGGTGCTCTGTGCATCAGACAGCTGCTGCCTTGGCCAAACCTCTGCAGCCAGGCTCATCCTGTGCCTGCTCAGCAGAGAGGGGCTGACAGCCTCAAAAAAACTGGGCACAGGGAGCCTGCTCTGCTCGGGCTGCCTTACACTGTTCTCTCAGCTGTGCTCTCTGCCTGCTTTTGCATAACCATGCCTGATTCACAGCAGTGGGAGCCCAGAGACTTTTGCCCTACTTCTTCTGAATCCAAACAGTAAAATCAAGCATTACTTGAGATTCAGCAGAGGTCTTTTGATTTGCTTTTAGGCTGGACTAGAACTCCCTGACATCTGGGAGACAAATAGCATCAACACAGAGAACTGCAGAGGTGCATCTCTTTGTGCAATATTGATTTTATTGCAGTCGACTTCAGCAAGAGGCAAAAGTGACAAAGTGTTGGTGTGTGGGTGGTTTTCATTTACAGGTATCTGTGTGCCAGCAGTCCTCCCCTCTCTGCACTTTTCTGATCACCTGTTAGACCTAAAACGGAGAAGGAAGGAAGGAAGGAAGGAAGGAAGGAAGGAAGGAAGGAAGGAAGGAAGGAAGGAAGGAAGGAAGGAAGGAAGGAAGCCTATTAACAAGTCATTTTTTTTAGCATCCCCAAAGTCAGAGAAAAGTGACAAAATAATCAGGCCTTTAGGAGTGGGGCTGATGGAAATGAGAACACAGAACACATTGTAATGAAAACCATATAATTTCACAAATGAGCTTTGAGGAAAAAAAGCTGTTGACATAAACATTCACATTCTGGCTGAAAAAGTCAGTGATTCTTTTCAAATCAAGCCTTTAATGGAAATTATGTTTGACAATATTATTACATATTTTGGCTTCCCAAATACCACAACAATTTCAAGAACACTTCTATAACAATACTGTGAATTGTATGGACTTTCTCATTAAGTGGAAAATGAAAACAGTTTCCATACAAAGTGAAATATTTCCTAGAAAACTCTCTGAATTCAAGCTCTTTTTAATCCTGTTTGGGTTTTTTTGTTGTTGTTTTCAGGGGATTTTTGTTTGCTTTTTTTGTTTTCTTTCTATTTTGTTTGTTTGGTTTTTTGCTTGGTTTTGGTTTGTTTTTAAGGTCTTGGGGATCTGAATAATTCTGGTAGACATAAGGCTTCTGTTCCGGATATAGTAGCATATAAATATAAAGGAATATCAGACATGCTAATTAAAACTAGATACAATGCCAGTTTATATATATATATATGGCAATAAAATGTAACCAAGACAAAAAAAGAAAGTTTTGTCAGAGTAGCTGTGGGAATTGTAGTACCTCTTGTTTCCACGAAGTTTCCATTGTGGAAGTTTGGACAGTGTCAAGCAGAGACTTTGCCCTTTTTTGGGATGATAGACTGGTTTCACTCAGATATCTTTCTCACTCCATATGTTTTCCCTTTTGGTGCAGCGTAGAGTTACAGAAGTTAAAAGTGGCTTCAGAAATTGCAAGACATATTATGTTTGCTGTCTGTCCTGGTTGAAAAAGGATTATGTCCACTGGGGTTCTCTGTGGAGGCTGCCAATTGTACCCACACGGGAAGTAGTTTTGTTAAACATCCAGCCAATATAATTTAATCATTGAAATCCCTTTTGCTTATGGCCTCAGACAGGCGATGAATGCAGTTTTCCAAATCCTTTAGAAACATAGCCTGTTATAGTAAAAAAAATCCAAAAGAAACACAAAAGAGGGATGGAAGAAGGCCATTTGTTCCAGAAAAGCAGTGTTTTCCTTTGTCTTCAAGGAAATGTTTGTATCAACTCATGAGATACTGCCTTTCCTGACTATACTGGATTTACCCTGGCCTCTGACATGGAAACCCACTGGTCTCCATCAGTGTGCTGGGTTTCCTCACTGCTCTCAGAGCCTCCCAAATTCCAGTTTTGGCTGTCACAAGTGCTTCATGCAGATGTGCCAGAAGTGTGCTACCACTGACAGTCTCTCACTAAAGAATCCAGCCCAGGGAGACACAGAGCAGATGGAGAAAGATTTAGCAGATGTTTAGAGACATTAACTCCTGAGGTAGCTCAGGAGATTTTCAGTAATGCCTGCTTGCAGCCAGGCCACGGGAACTGTGTGAAAATCTGTTCTCAGGCACCTCAGCCCTTCTGCTTTTGGGCTTCAGCTTGTTGCTGAAGGTGCAGAAAAGAGGACTACAAATAAACTCCTAGTAACAAACCAGTTCATAGCTTCACAGATTTCCAGAATACAGCACAAAAAATAAGAGTCAAATGTTGCCTCAGATTCAGGTTGCTCTCTTTTGTATCTATGAGGCCACTGACTTTAAATAATAATGATAATGATAATGATAATGATAATGATAATGATAATGATAATGATAATGATATTCTTCCCTAGCTGCTCATAGGCCCACGTGGTTCCCTTGTTGTAGGACACTGCTTCTGGATCCAGCCTTGCAAAGTGACATGCACAAACCCACGTGTGCAGGGGCCAAGGGGAGCCAAGAAGTGTCAGGTTATAAAATACCCACATGCTTTTACTATATATACACACCCACTGTATCATTGTGCTATGCCATCATAGCATTACTAATTATTTAGGTGATAATTTCTATTGCACTATAGTACACTAAGCAATAAGCAGCCGGTGCAATTGATTAAAAGGCAGAGCAAAGCTTTCAAAGCACATGCTATTCCCAGCTCATTTGCACACCTGCCAAAATCCACTGGTGCTGTTCTGGATTTATGAAGAGGAAGGTAAATTTTGGTTAGGACTTTAGGTAGCCCAGAAGGTTAGAAAGCTATGAAAATGGGAAATTTTAATTTTTTTTAGCCTGAAAGTTCAACTTCATAACCTTGGGTTTGTGCCAATGGTAAGAGCTTACACTACTATCCAAAAACAAGGCATGAAACCAACACTGTGTGATTCTACATTATATAAATACTGACCTTAATCTTATGAAAAACTAAGTAGCCAGCAAAATCGCAGACTAAAATTAGAGCCTTCACAGATTAAAACAAGTTTTTAAAGACAAGGCTTAGAAATTATAAATTGTAAATTATAATTAGGAATCAAAATTTAGAAATTAGAAATAGAGTGGCACATTGACTAAATATCAGCTGGGTTTGCATTAGGAAGCCAGATGTTTATGAGAAATGTATTGAGACAGAGATATTGGCACATCAGATAATTCTACCCTATAATTACTCTGGATAACTCTTCTCTAGTCCTGCCAGTTTCTTGAGGGAATGTTTTATTTTTATTGGCATTTCTGAAAGTACCTGCAGAAACAGGAGCAGAAGTGTGTAATAAAAATTCTTGGGGTAACAGTACCAGAAAGCACTTTTTCTGGAAAGTGATTTTTCCAGCTCCAGAAGCATCAACCATCAGAAGTCAGCCCCACCATACAGCAGTGTGTCCTGTCACATTTGGGCTGAAATCATAGAATTGATACCCTGAACTTCCCAAAAAGCAATTTCTGGCTGTTGTACCACTCCTGAGGAGAGTTCAACTCTGTTGTCTTTGAAGCCTTCAAACAGTTGTCAGAGGCTGTTGGATTGCTCTTCATTCCCAAAATTTATTGATGATCCCCAAGGTCTGTTCCAAGCTGGTTAATTCTGTGATTCTGTGATTTAGCCAAACATTTGGGAGCAACCTGTGACAGAGAGTGCACAGTCTGGTGAACTGATCAAAGCAGGGGACCTAACAAGAGCTGTCAAGATGCTGGGAAGGAAATTACTGGGTTAAATGTCCCAATGTTCCCCTTTCCATTGCAATACAGGCAGGATTAGATAGCTGCATAGTCTAATTAGGTTCCTCCACCAGCTGCCTGCCTGGGAAGTGAGGTTTGTTTACCAAGGGGGAAAAAAAGTGGATCTTTATCTGAGTTATGGGGTGACAGCACTGCAGTAATTGTCCCTTTCATGTTCTCTATACACTAAAGACTCTGCTATTAAGGAGCTTGGTGTAGCTGATAGCTCAGGTGTGACTCAACAATACACTGAAATTTCCCTCCCACCTTATTATTACAAACAGCTGAAGTTAATTTATGTATGAATATGCACTACCACAGGAAGGTGAATTTATGTTACAAATTTATTTTATTAAATTTATGCTACAAATCTTAAGGCACGACAGATTTGTCAGAAAGCAATAAAAGACCATCTCTAAGAAGCGAGATGGTACCAAGAACAGATCATCAGCTCATGAAGACATCTTCTTTGTGACCTGTGTTGACTGGAAGTGTAGTTGTTAATATATTAATACGTTTTCAAGCAAAACATTTAGCAGGCATGTGCTCTTGGAAGAGTAATTTTTAAGCACTGTACAATGGACAATAAGAACCTTTCCTGTGGACATAGATAAGACAATGCTGGCATTTCCTACTTGATTCAGGAATATTCTCTCTCTCTTTTATCTCACCTTTCCTTACAACCCTGACTAAAGAGAAAATGAAACATTCAATGTACCTGCCTGCATAACTTAAAGATTTGCAGCCAGTTGAGCTTGTATAATGAAAGAAGGCCAAAAAGGTTTAACACTGTAAAGATTTGCTGCCACATTTGTAGTTTTTCTTTCAGATTTTCTGGAAAAAAACCATGAGATATGTGTAGCATGGTTAAAATGTAATATTCTCCCTTGGTTATAGGAAAAATTTAAAACTGTTTTACTACCTTCTTCAGATGATATAATAAGCTGATATTGAAGTTTATATTGGTTAAACAAAATTAGCTGACATGGATTTAATATTTCCGTCCCCATGAAAGTAGAGGAGTCTGTTCAAACTTGCACAACACCCGTTATCAAGGTGGTAACAGCTGTTTCTAACACATCATTTGCTGAGCTTTAGAGGATCCTCTCCAAGATTTATGTAGTGCTTAATGTTGTATCTCTGCTCAAGGGGTTGTTGGGAGTAGATGGCTGCTCATGGATTTTCCTTCCTTAGTGCCTCCAGTTGTGCAGGTTACCTTGTTCTGGTCACAGCTCACATTTGAACTCAGAAGAAGAAACCTGGAGCTGCACTGCTTTTTGAAAATCTCACCAGGGAATCTTCATGTTTGGCAACCAGTTCAAGTTTTCCACTGCCTTATGCTATACAGTGCATTTTATATAGATACAACTGATGCAATGATATATAGATGTGTATCTATATACACATATAATTGTAAATACATGTTCAAGGTCATCTTTGTCAAAGGAGTGAGATAGAAACATACTTCTTTAAAACAATAAACTGAGCATCTTTATATTTCTACTTCACACGTTCATATATCTAAACTTGAGACATGAGAACCAGCTCTGTTGAACAGTGATGTGTACACTCAAAACACTGGTAAATACCCAACCAAAGAATCAGCCTGACTGATGATTCAAGAGCTTGACTGCCGTGGATCTGGACTCAGCACACTGCAGTTGCAGTGACAGTGTCTGGAAAGCAGGGATGGCTGTGATCATTTGGAGCCCTAAGGTCAGTCCAGGTCCTGCAGTCTTTGGTGTCAGTGACAGGTATTAGTGGCACCACCTATTAGTGGCTAATCTTCCTTTTTCCTCCTGCCTTCAGTCAGAGTCGAGATTGAAAGCATGAGAGACAGGATTTTCGTGTTTGGACTCAGTTGTTTATTAATTCTTATCTATAGTATAATGAGTTCTTCAGCACTTCTAGCTAACAAGCTAAAAGCTAGAAAATGTCGGTGGATCTAGCTAGTTACAAGGTCTTTTAAAGGCTAATTGTCCAATTAAAAACTAACATTTATATTATTTATACTTTTGACCCAATGACCAAACACCTGTGACCTGCACCGCAGATTTTCCATCCAACCAAAAACTACTACCTGAAACCAAGAAGAAGAAGAAGAATGAACAAGAAGGAAGAAAAGACTGCCCTAGAATGTCCATTTTGTCCCATACCTATTACCATATTCTAAAACTCCAAATTCCAAACCCTTCACCATGTGAAATTACACACTTCTATTCAAACTACACACCAGTGATTCCAACTCCATCACTAATTTTTGGAAGCCTTCTCCAAGGCCTCAAGTCAAAAGCAGTGTTCTCCAGGGGGTCAGCGCCAGAAAGCAGAGAAAGCAGAGAAAGCTCAAAACTCCCAGGCTCCAGGGTTCCAACACCGGGGATTTCAGGGGTAAATTTTGCTTTTCCTCGTGCCCACGTTATCTCCTGTGACGCAGCCCAGGGCAGAGCAGGGTGTGGGGCTGGGATGCGGTGACACAACCCCAGCGGGGCCGGGAGGAGGCCGAGAGCAGGCCACGCTTCCTAACGCTGTGTTTGCCTTGGCAGATGGTGCTGCTGGCTCGCTGCGAAGGCCGCTGCAGCCAGACGTCGCGCTCGGAGCCCCTGGTTTCCTTCAGCACCGTCCTGAAGCAGCCATTCCGCTCCAGCTGCCACTGCTGCCGCCCCCAGACCTCCAAGCTGAAGGCCATGAGGCTGCGCTGCTCGGGGGGCATGCGGCTCACGGCCACCTACCGCTACATCCTCTCCTGCCACTGCGAGGAGTGCAGCTCCTAGGGCACGGCCAGAGGGGGACCAGGGGTGCTGCTGGCGGGGAAAGACTCCCAAGGGACAATCCAAGGTCAGGCCGGTGCTCCCAGCACAGGATTGCGGCGAGGACACGACTAACCGGGCTGGATTGAATCTGGGAGCAGAAGCACAAAATATCCTGGGTTGTTGGATGGTGCTGGTTGGTTTGGCAGCGTTGGCTGTGACAAAAGTGTGAGGACTTGTTTTTAAGAAGCCTTTCTTTTTTTCTGAAAGGATATTTTTGAGAGTTTCTTCTTTTTCAGACTCGGCTCTGACTACAGAGAGGTGCTTTTACTTTAGGCAGCAGGGGAACAGAGAAGAAGGTCAGCCAGATGACGACACTGCAGTCTGGAAACTGACATTTGGACAGAGGATGGGCATCAGTTCCCACAGACAACCTCTTAACCTAGCAATTTATTCTCGGTTTTCTAGTTATATTGGCCTTCAAAACAAACTGTGCTGTTGGCAAGGGTCGTCTGTTACTGACCTAGTGGCCAAATGCTGGATAACTTTAAATGTGGTTTAGCAGAATTTACAAATAAACCATTGAAAAGTGAACTGAATATGAAATGCCATGCTTGGAATACCCAGCCTAGCTGAAACAATTATTTGCACCATGTGTCATCAGAGTTCAGTGGCTGAGCAACTCTTGGGAAGGGAAAGGTCATGAGACTCACTATTCCCTTCTAAAAGCCCAGAAATGTGACACATCACATCTGTCACAAAAGTCATTATTCAAAAGCTACAAACTAATCAAATATTAAAATACCACATACTAGATGGAGTAATTTCTTAATTTGAGTAGAGCTGTTGATGTGCAGAACCAGAGACACCAAAATGATGACTATACCTAGGACTTATTTTCATCTACAGTTCTTAGGCCATTAAGCAAGTACCATTTTGCCTTTTAAAGACAAGCAACCTCCAGATCCTAAATCTCAAAACAACAGGGGATCCAAAGTTTGGGAATAGTATTTGGTATTTGCTGAGAAACTCTGTTCCTCCTTCATTAATATGAGTTTTTAGGAAGGTTCAGTCACAGTTTATTGTGACTTCAAGGGAACGATGTAACTGTTTTTATCTCATATTAAAATTCTTATGTTCTTAAGTGGCAGCATACGCAGTCTGTGCTGTTCACAGAAACCTGACTGAGCTGTTGTTTTGGTAGAAGTCATGAGGGTTTTGAGAGCATCTTTGCTGTGTGAGGATTCAGCGTCAGTACACCCATGAGCACAGTCCCACAGTTACTGTCTGGGATAGACTGGATTGGCTCCCAAGCACAGCAATGTCTGGCAGGGTCCCATGGCAAGGAGGGGAAGTCCTTTCCAAGAACAGAGTTCAGCTCATCTGTTCAGCTCCAGCCAGCTGATTTGCAGCAGATGCCACACTCGAGGACACGCACTGCTGTGTGTGACAGGGAACCCCCAAGGTCTGACAGGGACCCCAGCAACAGGAGTTACTGTGCCTGCTCAGGCAAAGCCTAATGTGAATGTGTGGGATGTGAATGCAGAGGTGACAGACAGTGCCCTTGCAAGCCAAACCCTGGAGTAGGATGGCAGTCAGCAGTGGAAAGACGTGGGGACAGGTATGACCACAGACACCACTCAGAGAGGCTTGTGACACATGGGAAGAGCTCTGTCTTCTGGAGGTGACTTGGAGATGGTCAGTTTTCAAAGAAAGAGCTGTGAGCAAACTGAAGGGTGAATCCAACCCCCAGAAGTGGAGGGGCTCAGATTGAAATGTCAGAACTGGGAGTGATGAGCCCCAGTGAGCTCATTAGACACCATGTGTTGTCCCAGGACTGTCAGTCATTCCTTTCACATCTGATACACGGTCTGAACATCAAAGACCCAGTCCAGGGAGCATGAACTGGGCATTATCACCAGACTACTTTATATGAAAGATCATATGTGCATCCCTTTTTCACTCTCTTTCAACCTCCAGCATCTAAAGATCTCATTATCCAAAAAAGCACCACCCCCTACTGTTAATTATATATAGCAAATTCCAGTCCTTATTCAAAACGTCAGCAATACCTTTGATAGCCAAATAACTACACTGCAAAATATGCATGACCTCTAAGAGTGAGTACAGACACTGCTGCACACCAGCAGTACAATGCAGCTATCTAAGGAAGGGGAATGTTTGAGGGATAATTGCTATATCCAGCATCACCTCCCCTTGGGCCCTGCTGCTACTGGTCTCCTTTACCAGTGCAAAATGGGGGGGGCTGTGACACAAAATCTGGGGGCTGCAAGTGGCTAAAAGGGTTGGATGGGACCTGGCAGAACAGCATGGCACTGATCATGGTCCTCAGGTAAGAAGAGACAGTAGGGTTCAGCAAAGACCATGCCTGAGCCAATTTTTACAAAAAAGAGAGTATCTGTAGTGAGACGAGAGCTTGGCTGGTATTTTTACCCACATTCCCCTCACTAACACAGACCCAGAACTGTAACTGCACAAATCAGCCTCACAAAAGAAATTTGTGTTTCAACAAAAGCTTTTTTCCCCCTTTCCCCCTGCCCCATTCCTTCTACTTTTCCTCAGTTCCTCTGATGAAATCATCTCCTTGTGACCTTAAAGGCTGATGCCAGGCATAAATGTTGAGTTGAATTCAACATCATCCAATTGAACTGTTGAGTTGAACAAACACATGGAAGGAGTATAACCAAAATTATAAATGGCAAAACAAAACAGTTGTAAATATCTACAACTTGATATTAAACAATGAATTGAACTTCCAAATTCTTTTGGCTTGGTTAGACAATCTTCATACTAACATTTAAGAAAAGGAGAAGCTATTCTTCATAACCAAATTCCCCAAAGTCAATTATGAATCCATATTTTGATACTTTTTTTGGTCAGTATTTTAGGAAACTCAGTTCTGAATGAAGCACACAAGCTACCTCAGTTAAATTCAGATGGTGTATTGAAGCAAACAAAAATGAGGCTTCAGGTAAAAATTACAGCATCTAGGTCATGGTGAGAAAGAGTCTAAATGGTGTTTGGAGATGATCTGGCTTCCTGATTTCTTAGTCACACATTACTCTGGATACTAAAGCTCTGTTTTTCAAGTCAGACTACTGTGTAAGTGCTTCTTAAATTGAACAACAATGTCCAGCTTTCCAGATAATGTGGGGCTTGTTCTTTCCTAGAGCATCCTCTTGCTGGGATTTGAATGAGAAGGCTTTGTCCCTTTTTTTCCTCTCACTGTACCTCACCCTTCAGGCACCATCCTCCCCCACAGAAAGGCTGCTTGAGCTGTGATCATCCTGTGGTTTGCTCAGGATGAAGTGATACAGATTTCCATTGTCACCTCCCTATGCCCTCCTCTCTTTTGATTAAGTTTCTGAAATGAGCTTGGCTTATTTGTGAAAGTCACCTGTCCTAGCAGTGTTGGGGTTATGCTTCAGCTGGATTGACTGTAGTCATGGTGTCTGTGAAAAGGAGAGATTTCCTCAAACCCTTGGTGTTTGATTAGTCTTTCAGTGCCCCAGTGTCCTGGTTTAGGACAAAGTTGGGAGAAAATTTCCAAAGGGCAACCCCCCAGAAGCAAACCTGAGTGGCCCCTTCCCCAGCTGGTTCGGGAAGAAATTTCCTCAGAGAGAAGTGGAAAAAACCTGTTTATTCAACAGGCACAACACTGCCCAGCACCAAAAAAAACCCCAAACCAATACTGAACAACAAAACCTCTCAGTGCTCTGAAGAGATGACAAATCCAGAAAGTCTCTCTCCTGTGGTGGTAGCTCGGCTCAGTCTGTTCTCTGTTCTCAGTCCCTCCGGTCCTGGAAAATGCCCAGGCCAGGCCCCGGTGGCTGCAGGTTCAAGCTCCTGGTGCTCCCCCAGGTCCCCAGTCCAGAGCAGGTTCCAATAATTCCAGGAAAAAAAAGGAAAAAAAACTTTCCGGGGAACTTCTCTGCTTCAGTTAGTCAGAAACTAACAAGAAGCAAAGGAGAGCTCTCTCTGCTGTCCACCACGGCGACACAGTCCAGGAGGAGGAGAGGATGGAACTGCTGTCTCTGTGCTTTGAAAACAACTGCCTCAGACATTCCACTGCTTCTCCTCCCCCTCCTTCACTCTAAAATCCAGCCTTAAAGGTACAAAACTTATTTCTGGGCTAAACAGACAAATGGGGATACAATTCAACATGACAAAGTCACCCCAGGACACCCAGGAAAGCCAAGACCCTTGGGCCCAACCAGGCTGGCAGTGTCCTGTTATGGAGACTCTTCTCAAAACAGTCCTGCTGTGCCAGAGGATGCTTTGGCTGACTTGTTCAGGGTCACACATCAAACATAAAAAACCTCCTTCTACATCTCCAACATTCACCCACTATCAGTGATTGGCAGCACCCATGAAAGACTCACATTAACAGTTTATGGAATAATATTCTATTAATAAAACAGTACAGGTTGAGGTTCAAGGATTGCAGGTGATCATATCTGACTGCAAAACCTATTCAAACAATATATTACACCAGAGCTTCAGTGGTGTCCTTTGCTTGTAAGAAAAGCCTTACAGTGGCCCCACAGCTGGTGCCTATCAGAAATAATCTGTGATTTGCTAGAATGAAAGAGCCCATGATGTAGCAAATTTTAATTATTTTGCTCCCGGTTTCAAAGCCACTACACTGGTTCAACCTTTATAAGAATCATTAAATTAAATAACTCACTGCTTTCTTGGAGATATCCCCTCTCACCTTGCCTGCTGACATTGAAGAACTTTTGCAAAGAGTTCCTGAGCCTGGCTGTCTCCCAGTGGCCTTTATTAGAGCTTTTGTAAGCTGTTGTCACAGGGCTCATGCAGTAAAGGAGAGGTAAAACTCACTGGCATCCATGGTACACCCCAGCCTGTGGTGGGCTTTCATGTAAGTCTTAGTTTAAACCTGTTCACCAAATCCTTCCAGACCTACCACAAAGCCCTGAAGCTCAGGCAGGACTGTGTGACTTGCAGGCAGAATGTTTTTGTGAAAGAGGGGGGAAAAAAAAGAGGAGAGGTTACTCTCTCATAGGAACAGTCTGATGCTTTGCTGCTCTGTGTGTCTAAACTCAGTTCTTAGTCCCTGATGTGAGAAAAAGAGAAGCCCCTGAGCTCCCTCCTGTGGGCGAGTGTTTTTTCAGTGTCTAGTTCTACTTGTTTAGAGACAGTAACTTCGTACAGAAATTGCCTGAAGCAGGATTAAACCGTCTACAAAACACGGTTCTGCTTAGGGCCATAAATATTTTTGAAAAATGCAAATGCAATTTAAAAAGCTTTAAAAAGTAAGGAGGGGGAGGGAGGGTGTGTCTCGCTTTCTTTGACTAATTATTTGAAACACAACGAGCTGACAGCTTTCTAAGATAGATTGCAGTATGGCTAACAGGCAATGAGACTGATATTCTTACAAAAGTGCAGCAGACTGATGGAAATGAGCATCCTAGTTAAATTTGTTGTGTTGCAAACTTGCGTACAAAGAAGCTGATTGGAAATCCAAATTGTGAGTCTATTAATTTTATTTTGGAAGGAAAGGGTCACAATTTCTATTTATTGTTTAAAAGAGAGAGAACAATCACCAGTAGACTGTAAACTATGTTAGTAAGCAGTTTCATGCACTGAAAATGGTTCCTGGTGGTTCTATACTAAAAGGATGCTTTGTGTATCAAGATAAGAAAATTCAGAGTTCATTAAAGAATTAAGGAGAATAAGTAATCTTGTTTGGCTTGGACCAAGAATGATATATTGAAGTGTTTTGTTCTGCCTTTTTTTTTCCTAATAGACCATTCAGAAAAGGTCAAGGAATCAAAAACATGTATGAAAAGACAAAAGGACATCTATCATTTATCTGAGTCAGAATTAATACTTCCTTTAGATGGTAACCAGCAGCGCATCCCATGAAATATTAAAATAAGTTAATCATATTCCCACCTAATCTACATATATTTACATGATCTTTTATTCTTGAAAGAATTAAAGAGCAGACCCTGACTTACAGCTGTTTTCATTCAGATGCACAATTGGTATTCCGAGCTCTACATGGATCTCAAGACACGATAATTTTCCATTCTTTTGAGTTTTTTCAGTCATAAAAATAATGGAGGGTTGCACAGATATTTTGTACTGTAGTCAATCACTGTATAAAAAAGATTAATCTGGGGAGCTGCAGTTAAGTTGTGTGCCAGGATTAATTACCCCAGCTCCCTACCCTAAGCACTAGAGCTTCTGACTTGTTGGATCTAGTTGGATCTAGTTCTGCCTCCAAAACAATTCTGGGAGCTGAATCCTCTACCCTGAAATGTTCAGTCATCAACTCTGTAACAGGTGGGGATCAAAACCCATTATTTGAGTGGATGAGAGCCTGTGATGAGTCTCCACTGTCTCGGTGATCATGTTTTCACACAGAAGCTGTGCATAAGTGAGGAGGTAAAATCACCAGAGCAGTTGTCAGTAAATGCAGTGCAGTCTGAGTGAGCTAAGCAGGATCTCAGCATTGGCAGAAATATAAAGCTGCTTTTTGCACTTGAGTTTGCTGAGTTTTCTGCAGATGTACATTCCCAGCTAGTCCCTGTAGGAAAGGCAGAGACAACCTCTGCTGGTTAGAGAGACTTTTATCTAAAACTGTGAGGCTGAAAATGTCCCAGGTAGGTGTCTGAGTGAATTAGAAATCAGATTTGAAGAACTTACACTAACAGTATTGAAGAGTTGAATTTACATGCTCACTGTCTGCTTTGTTCTTTGAAAATGTCCTAAAAATGCTTTTGCAGAACTCAGACACTCACAAGGGCAATCAGCCCCACAGCTTTACCAAGATTCAGTTTTATACTATTAGAAGTAGTAACTCTTGATCTTTGTGCCATATTCCTGTGTATATGTATATGTACATATATGCACAAAACAAGGCTCTATTTCACAGATCTCTCTTCAGCCTCACAGCCCTCTTCCATTTCTGAGAGCTTGGAGAAGAGCAAAGACCTCTACTAGACCCTCACCACTGCTCTTAGAAAGCAGCTGTGTTTCACCACTATTTGCAAGATGGACAAACTTTAGCAAGCAGGTGTCCTGAATCACTCATCATTCTCCTGAAGGGAAACATCACCTGGTGCCCAAATCCTCTCGAGTCCCTCAACTGGCTGCTCAAACACAGCTCTCTGTGGCCACCTCAGGGATCACTCGTTGGAGCCAAATAAATATTCCAGACAATGTTTTGTAGAAAAGGGATCAGGTTGATCCCATGAGAAACTGCATGTATGTGTTTACTCTTTCCATCTGGGCTTTTTATGGGTTGAATTTTTTTTTAAAAGGCAGATTTTCCCAACTCTTATTTAGTTCCCCTTTAGCGCATTGACAAAAGATTGCTGGAGCTTCAACAAAATTGTTTTAGAAATTGTGCCATTTCTCAAATCTGGTACAATATTAGAAAAGGTAGTTCTCTTCTACAGCCTATGTAACTATGAGGAAAAATACATCAGAAGATGAAACACAGCAGAGGACACTTGGGGGAACTAAGACACCATATTGTATACTTTGATGAAAAGACAGTAAAAGATTTGCTTTAGCCAAAGAAATCCCACCATGAATACTCAATTGAATAAACACTAAATGAACTATGAGTGGGATTTTTCAAGGGTGCTCAATATTGACTTAACTCCACTTTCATTCACACAGAAGAGCAACCAGCAACTTCAGTGAGAGCAAAGTCTGGCCAGCAAAGCCTCCTGCCTGAGGCTGCTGGGGGAGGCAGGGAGGGAAGTATCCATTCCTGCAAAGAGCCTGCTCAGGATATTGGCAGTCCTCAGCACCAGATATTCACAAGTCAGCTGCTCATAACTGAGGAAAACACAGTTCTATTAATTTTCTTCATTCCTCTTGCCTACCTTGTTCCTCCTCACCTACCCTGCACCTCTTAACATGTGGAAACAATTGCACTGCTGATGTCAGACACATCTCCACACTGTCCAAGCATTCCCAGTAACTGGAAGTGTGACTTGCTGCAGCAAGACTGTGCAAATTTAAAGTGATTCTAATCTTATATGAGCTACAGATGCTCAAATATGTACAAATATGCTCATATGTATGCTCAGAACTCCAGAGACTAGAGTTGCTACTGCCTCACATATTTCATTCCCTTTGATGCACAAGACAGTCCCTACACTGGGAGAACCCATTCCCATGCTCCCTGATTTCTTCCATGCTGTTTCTTTGTTTATATTTGATTCCTCCTTAAAGGAAGGCCTTGAACAATGAGGAGCAGGTAGTTCAACACTCTTCATCTGTATTCTCCAGCTTGGAAACAGTCTCAAGAGGAAAATATATGTTAATTGTGGGTTTTCATCTGCAGGCACCATGAACTTCAGAACACAACATTGTGATATTTTCTCCTTAAACTGTAATGATAGATACAGGAATATGATGTGTATGTGCACACACACACATAGAGAAGATGAGATGGTGTTTGTTCTGGGATGTGAAATCCTGTAGTTTCTAGCCTTGACTTGGATAATCACAGCTTTTATGGAAATGATTTATATTACATCTTTTGATGAGTTATAAAAGAGAAACATACAGAGACACGCACAACCCTACTTTTACATATTCATGAATATGTTTTTATGCATTTAAGCCTCGACAGTGCCATGGCTGTTAGACAAAATAACTGTATGAATGACCTTGAAAAAAATAAAATAAATGGTGATAAATACAAAATGAGGCTGGGTCAGCAGCACAAAGGGCTGCAATGGAGGCAAGAGGCATTACTGATGGTTCCTAGATTTTGCTGAGTAACCTACACTTTCCCCTGGAGGTGGAGCACAGCGTGAGGCTCAGGCATGATGAGATCTCTGTGAATCCCTCCTTCCTTTCTGGGAGAGAGCTAAGGATAAGCCTTTAGGTGGAGCTCACTTACCACTGCTTTCCCTGCTGGACACAGCCAGCCTGGGCCAGCCCTGCAAGGAGAGAAAGCAGAAATAATCTCTGAGCTCGGGTTAATAGCCAGGCTCTTCACAAGCTAAAAAATGAGATTGGAGGTATTGTGTGCATGGAAGCACAGGACGGTGGATGCACCCAGCACATTCCACTGGATGGCTGGAGAGGGCTGCACTGGGCTGTGGGACAGGGAGGGCAGACACTGTGATTGGGACAGGAGGGCAGGATTTGTGCTCAGCACAGGGAATCAGCTGAAAAGTGTGTGGTTCCTAATTCCTCCATCCTTTCTGGCATGCTGGAGAGTAGTAGCAGGAATAAGTGGAAGAAAACTCTATGCTAGCAGCAAACCCCAAATCAACTGGGGACTTCAAATAGTCACATTTCGTCTAACAAGGCCAGGCTTGGAAAGGCCCATTTGTTTCACACTGTCAAAGTTCTACCAGGCATCACAGGCAGGGCCTGTGTCAGGAGGATGAAGAATGAGAGTGCCCTTGGTAGCATCAGAGGAAAGCTCTAGATTGCAGTAAGGGACAGGAATGGTCCTTAAATCTGCAAGACATGAAAAAGTCAAATCATTGCATTCCACTTTTCTTACACATGAAGCTGCCAGCAACATCAAACCCTAGTCACAGAAGATCATGACATGACCTCAAATGTTGCCTACCATACTTTTACACTCAAGGGTTTCCTGAGGCAAGCAGATGTTTGGGACAGCAAACTTTTACAGCAGCAACTTTACACTGAGGGCATCCTGCTGCCAGCTGTGGGATAGTGAGGATCTTGCACGGATATCAAAGAGTGATCAGGAGATGCTACTTTTCTTTCTTGCTTTTTAGTGCCTGCTTGTTTCAGCTGGATTCTCATAAGTTTCTCATTTTTTAAATCCACTTGTGCAAGAAATGCCCCCCAAACAACCAAATAGTTGAAGATCTGTGAAAAAGCACATTGTTTACTGACATGTTTCCCAGAAAAGACTTTATCGGCTGAAACTACATTTGTGCCAAAAGTCCTTCATTATTTTGTGATCTCTCACAACCAGTACCCTGACCTCCTTTTCGTGTATGTAAGAGAGGTTCTGGAAGGAAATCCAGTTGCAAGGAAAACAAATTTTAACAGTGTTGCTTCTTATTCTGTTACTATTTATTTTACTCCCCGGACCCTTGTTTTTTTTTACAGGATAATGCCTAATCACTATACCTACAAGCAACATTAGTAATTTAAGATGATCTCATAGGTCAGTTAGGAAGATTCACTGCCCCTTTCACATTGCAGGTCACTACTCGCCACTGTAAGCAGCTATTGAGATCAGCAATAACAAATTCCAGTGGTGCAGCATTACTCCAAATTGCACTGTAAATATTATCCTTTCTCTGGTTTTCTTCTACACTCTAAAAACGTTCAGCAAAACTTGACTAGAACATCCTGAAGACAGCATGTTATCCTGTGTGTTACACAGAATTCAGCAAGGATTTGGCTCTTGAATTAAGAGACCCAGAATCAGCCCTGTGTTTGACTTCCTACTGCAGGTGAAGAAGACCCAGGTAAGACAACTCAGCCTAAAGTCAACTCACCTGAGCAGACATTCAGTGTATATCTCTGGGTGAGCTGAGTAGCCTTCCAGCCTGATTGTCCTTACTAGATGTTTATGGTAAATAACAGGAAATTTCAGAAGTAGACATATCCTCTCCGGTTTGAATCTTCAAGGTGAATCAACTTATTTCTTTCTTTAAAAAGAAGAAAAAAAAAGAGGAATAATTCCATCACTCTAATTTATTATTTTGCCATCATTCTTATAGCAGAAATTCACAGATGCAGATCAATATACAGTACAGAAAAAAAAAAGGAGAATTTTAACTCAAAGAACCCAGATCCATGTACAGCTGTACAGCAGCCCTGGAGATCAATAGGAATCACAGAGATGTTGTTAATGTAGTCTCTGCTGATATCCTCACAAATAAGATGAGGAAACATTGTCTAGATGTATTTTCTGAGAGGTGAGTAATACCTAGAGCAGCTGCCAAGAGTAGCTACTAACAAACGCTGTCCAAGTGTGAGATTGCATCAGTTCAGGCCCTTCACATTTCCACATTTTTGAGATGATGGAATAGAAAGGATGCCTATTGTGTTTGCATGAGGCATTAGGCAGGAGGGGCTGCAAATGTAAATTAGTATTCAAAGCAATCCTGACAAATGGAAGGCACTGCCTAAAGCAAACAGAAGGGAGACCTGAAAGATGCAGCGAGACAGGAAAGAATAATCAGCAGTACAAATACAAACCTTCTCCAGGAGGAGATATGGGGATTATGGTGAGTCACAGCAGAGCATAAGTCAACATTATGTTGTTATGAGAAAGCTAAATGCAATACTCAGCAGCATCATGAGGTACCTGAAGCAACCCTTCTATTTTATTCAATGTTAGTGATGCTTCAACCAGAATAGTGGGATCACTTTTGAACTCAAGAAAGAGGTTCACTAACTGGGGAAAGTAAAGAGGAGAGAAATCCAAATACTCAGGGGGAATGATAACATTGCCTGCAAGAAAGAATTGAAGGAATTGGGCTGTGTAGTCTAGAGAGAAAAGGATAAGGGAAAAATCTGTTGAAAATATTAACATATGCAGCTGCAGGGATTAAACTCACAGTATCCATAATGAAAGAAATATTCTTGCCCAGAAAACATGGAAATACAGTAGGTGGCTGTTAAGACACATCCTTAGGCGCCTTAAGAAGTTTAGATAAATGTTTAGGTATAGCAAATCCTGCCTCCAGATGGTGCAGTTAATTAAATGACCTCTTTAGATTTTTTTCCATGCCCTGGTGTGTAACAGTGCATCATGACCATTTTGTCACAATATCTTTCTCTTGGGTAAGCTCCTGATGCATGACCTCCAAGGAGAGGGTTCAAACAATTGTGCCAGTAAACTAAGCAGAGGATGTCAAGGCTTTTGTATTTGGTGGAGGGACTGCTGCAGAAAAATTACATCAAAAGTACTGATGGGGAAGCAGAAAAGGAGAATCACTTGTGAGCTGCCATCAAAACTGAGCTAAAAAGACAGCAGAGTTACAATATTTATAAAAAGTAAATATACTGTGAATTTGTTTCACACAGCAAGGCAGCCTGCAGAGGCCTGGCAACATTTGGCACATTGAAGTGTAGGCTCAGGTACCCTATTTTTTCTGACTGTTCTTTGGCCAGAAAAAATCCAGCTCTAACTTGCAGCTGTGAGCATGAACTCTCAGTGCCTGCTGCAGATGGCTGTACATCAGAGATGGATTGAACCCATAGTGTTGGAGATGCCTCTCTACTTGTGCTTTTACTCCTTTTTTCCCTACTATTTATTTCCAGGAGTAGTAATTCTAAACAGCTATGCCAGTGGTCTGAAGTAGTGTCCAGACCATAAGAGGCTTAGGCTGTATAACTGTGAAGCTGTATAGGAAAGCAGATGGTCAAAAAGAAGGGGAAAAGGTGTTTTGAAACCTCACAAAGCAGTCCAAGAGAAAATATTTTGATGGGAATGAGTAGTGGTGAGCATAGGGAACTACAAATCAAAAATAAGAGGCAAATGCTGGCTCCATAGAGAACACTCATGGAGCTGCACTCCCGGGGCAGCCCTGTGGGGGTGACTGGAGTCTGCTAAAGGCAAAGAGCCAAGGTTAAGTGAAGCTGTTGGGTGAATCCCAGTCTTTCCCCGGGTGAACTTTGTTGTGTGTATGCCCCTGCTAAAGCACTACAGCTCTGAGATCCAATTCAGGAGGCTTCTGGGCAGCTTCACTGACTTCTGGTGTTGCACCATCACTTTTGACTGATCTGTGATGATTCCTCAGGCTTAGAGATGACATCCAGGATGAGTTGTTCTATCACCTTCCTGAGGATGAAGGTGATGCTGATGGGCTTGTGGTTTCCTGGGTCCTCCTTGCTGCCCTTTTTGAAGATGGGACTGATGGTGACTTTCCTCCAGAGCTCAGGCACCTCTCCTGGGGGATCACCTCCCTGACTCATGGGCAGTGCTCCCTGTGTCAGAGGCAGGAATGGAGATTTCTCCTGGCCAGGGCTGGAGTCCTCAGAATTCAGAATGAGATTATTTGGTGGCCAGGAAGCAAGACCATTATCAGGTTCTTGTTCAGGAAGCACTTTACAGCTGGTAGAATGATGAAGGCAGTCTATGAATGTTAGAAACTGTTTTTTAGAAATGATCCAGTTCCTGTCCATTACAGCATATAAACAGTTGGGCTTGATGATCATAAGAGGTTTTTTTCAACCTAAGTGATTCTATGATTATCTAGCCTTGGCGATTTGGGGAAGAATTGTCACGAATGCATAATGCCATCTTAAAATATAAACCTCAGAAACAGGTTCCAATGTCTCCAAGTTTAAGAAAGTCCTCAAATCCAAAAATGAGTGCCCTGGCCATATAAGATTTACTGCTTGCCTGCAAGATCATCCACAGAGGAAGAGTGTCCTGGGTCTGTGGAATCATAGAATGGTTTGGATTGGAAGGGACCTTAAATTTCCATCTCACTGTGCTTGGCATTATTAGAGCATGTCCCATTCACAGGTGCCATGCCTGTTTCTACAGTTGTTGGCCAACTCTCATCTGGAGCCCAGGACCCCTGGCATAGGCTGTTTTCATCAATACTTTTCAGAGGGGAGGGAAGGCAAATTACAGCTATTCCTAATGAAGAAATCCATCAGCACTGAACATCTGCCATGACGATATTCCACATCTGGATCAATTAAATGTCACTTCCTGCACTGCTCTACAGTACCTGTAGAGGTGCCAGTATTTGTGTTCCTGCCACCATAAAGTCTTTCATGTTAGCTTTACCTACATCACCCTGTGTGCTGTTCACTGCCAAAGTCCTGTACATCTGCTACCTCTTCCTCAGGAACAGCAAACCATTGTGGATGTAGGCTTAGCAGCACTGCCATATCACCACTAGATGATAACTAGACAACAAAATTTCACAATCCAGTTGCGAAGGTGGCCACAGTTTAAAAAGGATTGCACAAGGGGAAAGCAGCTGTGGAAAATTCCAGACAGTAACTTGGGAGAGAAAAGTCAAACTCTTAGGCAGAGCAGAGTCCCCTGGTAGAAGACTGTCATGGTTTAGGGCATGGCCCTCCACCAACACAGAGCTCATATGAAGCCTGCATGGATTTAAAGGTCAATTTATCTCTGACCTTTTGATCAGCCTGAATAAATAGAGGCACTGCTGGCCAGCCCAGCTCTGCAACACAGTTTGCAGAGGTGCTGAACCTAGAAGAGGGTTTTATGCATAGTGATCTCCAGGAGCTGTGCTACTCCATGCTGTGCAACACCTGGTTCAGGGGGAAAGCTATACCTGCTTCTCAAGAGAATGATATTTTATAATGTAGGAAAAGCCAGTGTTCATGGGGACGTGGCTATTTTAGTTTAAAAGATACAGGCACATCAAAGTATCTCATTCCTTCATTAAGCAAGTTTGTGGTTGTACAATGTACAATCCCAGAGCCTCGTATGAAAATGTCAGGATTTTTTTCAGAAATACAAAATACCACATATATTTGCTAATTAATCCTAGTCTGTTTACTTTGCTTATCTCTACTATTTTCATTGGTCAGTCAATCCCAGGTGAAATGCTGACTTTTCTAATGAACTCAAGGTATTTGAAATCACTAACCAATATTGAAAAGGCCAGTTCTTCACAGTGTTGTCTCTACACATTCTTCAAGTACAAAAATATGCAAATACATTCAGTTTATTAAAATCTTACCTCAATGCCAAGGCATTTATGATTGTGAATTCAAAAGACTTGACTGATAGAACTGCTTTAATTGCTTCACTTGACTGACATAGACTAAAAGTCATATTTAATTGTCAAAAGAATTACCAGATGAGATATTTCTCGTACCTTTGTCCAGGTATTTCTGAACAGGTACCAGTTCCAGAAAGCACTGTGACTTAGACAAATGTCTGTCTGCTTGCACACGTTAAGGTTCTTTTCATTTAAAATCATACCTGAAAAGCAAAACAGTTTTTTTCACACACAATTGTTTTAGAATAGCAATAAAAACCATAAGAGGCTTTCACAAAGCAATCCCTGACACCAGCAGGAATTGCTCCACTGACTCTTGACAGTTACCAGAACAAGATTGCAAAATATATCAGTGATCAGCAACGTGTCAAGCAAAAACATGTGGCAGAAGCTGCAGACAAACCAGCCCCTCCCACCACAGTCTGCAAGACTAAAACCATCCAAACAATGAAACTTACTTTGTGACCTATCTCCAAAGTGGTGGGAACATGGTGGATGGATCACCCCTCAGCTGAACAAACCACAGGTACAAGAGCAGGAAGGAGTGTCACTGTTCTCAGAAAAATGCCACAGCAGTTTTCCAACCACTGTGGTTATGTTGCAGATTCATACAGGGAATGGGAGTAAAGGCTGAAGGGGTTCAGGCTCACACAGCAAAAGAAGAGAATGCCAGTAATGTGGAGCCAACCAGAAATAAATAATGCAAACCAAGACAAACCAAGGATGTTAGAGAAGCAGCAAGACTTCAAAAAGGGTACAGACCCAAATCAGTGCATGGTCTGA